ATAATATGTTAAAGAGTATTCTGTAAACTGAAACATCATCTGAATACAAGGATATGTTCTTATTCATCAAAAGTCAAGATTGCCAAAAATGAGAAACGTTCCTGAAAATAAAGGGGGGAGGGGCCTTGTTTGGAGCATTTTCCTGGGTAAGGTAACCTCATCTTGATGAGAACACACGTGCCCTGAGGGAGAAGGGCCAGGCTGGCATCGTGTGCTGGCTGACACTGTCTGTGATGGTTGCTGTAGCCTTACGGTCTGTATGAGACATGTCAAAGTGCAAAACTCTTAAAGACTAGTCTCTACTAAATGGAACCATAGGCTTCCCCTGCTCTCACTCAGCTCCCAAAGTGTGCTGAGCAACATCCCAGGGGCCCTGCAACATAGTCCAGGGTCAAATGCATGGGGGAATTGTCTTAGTTCAAATTTTTGATGTGGGTACCCCAGTAGGTTGAGTATTAAAAAGGAAAAACGCTACCTTTTTGATTTTAAGTGTTTGACCTTAGAGTTTCTAAGTCAACATTTCAAACGTGGTTTGCCCACACACACTGGGCCTGTCCTGTCTTCCATATACCCTGTCCCCTTGCCTGGTCCATTGACCAGCCCCACCTCCCACACGAAGCATCCACACAGCATCTATCTCTTTCTCCTCATCCCCCCAGCAAAACTGACAGAGAGAGCAAGAGAATGTGAGTGCCTCCGTGCAGGATCCCTCCTTAGGTGATGCATCTTGACTCTAAGACAGGCGCTTGCACAGTAAATTAAATGATACCCGCCATCCTGTCAGAGTTCAGTCACTGTAACTCTCTGAGAAGGCAGGGTTTGTGGATTTGTGGCAAAGGATGATGAAGGGGTATGTGTTTCCTCCTCACATGAGAAAGCTAAACCTGTTTTTGTTTTTCTTTTTTTTTTTTCGTAAAGCCAAGCTCCAACCGTGGGTGTTTGGCGCAAACCCTGCCACCTCAGTGGGTTGAACACTCAGCCCTGCACAACACCTTTTCCCAAAGTATCTCCCACAGCTCAGGAGAGGTACGAAATGGTCCCTGGAAGAAGGGAACTTGTGGCCCAATGTGTCTAGATTGTCTCCATCCCATAGACTCCTGCGGGAGAAAATCAATGTGTGTTTACAGTCAAGCCTCTAAGCCTTTCCACAAAGGAAAAAAAATTTTTTTGTTTAACCCAAAAATTCCTCAATCTATTTTTACCAAGGAACCCTTTTTCACATATTATTTCTCACCTCTTAGAACTGATGTCCCATGTACAATACCCTTTGGGAAACATTGTCGCTGATGCCTAGGTTTGTGAACAAATCCACTTCACTTCTTTTCAGACCTTGGCAAGAGGAGGAAGTGTTCATGGGTGTTGCATTTTCTTACTAAGCTGTTTCTTGCATAGATTCTCAGCACCAGTTATGCTGGAAATGCAAGCAATTTTATAAATAGCAGAGCAGAAACCTTCACCGAAGCCTCTGGGCTCATGTTGAAGAAATATGATGTTCTTACCATTAGAATTGCAGATATTTTTCTCTCAAGTGCCTCCCAACTATATAACTTTACACTGGGGGAAGCATCTTTCAGATGAATTGTAGAACATTTCTCGAATTCAGTTACAAAATTGATCGTTCCTCTCTTTGCTTTATTTTAGAGGCAGAAAATGGCAGAAAGTAAAGGTGTTTCAGAACAAATACAGAATCAAGCTTCTTCAGGAGAGGAGTTTTGAGGGATTATTAGAAGATAAAGGGGGACAGATACTCTGTGTACATAAAGGTAGAAAAGTGGGACAATGTGTCCAGCTATGTCCAGAGATAAAAATGTGCAAGAGGGAGGCAGGTGGACCAGGGAAGGTGCTTGCTGCTAAATGAGGAGATTTAGACACACTCCTGTGAACCACTGGGCACTTTTGAGGAATATTACTAGGAATGGGACATGACCTGATTTATATTTTAGAGCCTCCGCACTGGTGGCCTGGTAAACTGACAGTTGCGAATGGAAGTGATGCTGATGGCAGTAAGGCAAACAGATTAGGAAGCTACTGCACAAATTCATGGCCAGAAACGACAAGTCTGAAACTGAAACAGTGACAGAAAGGAATTAGAGAGGCAGGGTAGCTGTGAGTGATGGTGACGGATCACCTTGTGGCGGAGGGTTGAAGGGGATGCAGGCTAACGCCACTGGATATTGGCCACTATCGGTTCATCTCCGTGTGGTCAGTGTAGAGAGCTCCATGCTGGGTGCCTGGAGGTCCAGGGCCTACTCTGGGGTTGTTTAGACCTGACTGTTCACCTTTCGGGGCTCAGACTTTGCTCAATAAATAAAACAAAGGGGCTGAATTTCATCCCTGACATCCCAGGAATTCATTCTACATTCTAAGAGTGATCACGTACTTTTGATGTTGTCTTATCTAAACATCACTCCGGTTATCTGTTGCTACCTAAAAACCTAACAAATTACCCACACGTATAGTGGCTTAAGGTAACAATTTCTTATTATTTCTCATGATTCTATGGGTTGACTGGGCTGAGTTGGATATTCTTACTTGGTTTCTCATACTAGGGCTCCAGTCACTGAGGGCTCAACTGGGGTGGGCCTCCAAGATGATGTACTCACATGGTTAACAACTGATGCCAGCCACCACTGGCCTGGGAGCTCAACAGGGCCTGTCACCAATATTCCTCCACATGGCCTCTCTAAATGGCATTTCAGAATTATAATAAAATCCCGAAAGGAGCTTCTGAGAGGTAAATTTCCAAGACAACCAAGCAAAGTCTGCAAGGCTTCTTTTGACCTAGATTTAAAAGCCCCAGAATGTTATATTAGTTGCATCTCATTGGTCAAGCAAATCACAATGAGCAGTCTAAGGTTAAGGGAAGAATTAGACTCCCGTTCTTGTTGAGAAACTGGAAAAGCTACTTACAGAAGGACATGTGAGAAAGAAAATACTGTTGGTGTCATATTCCTAACTTTTCCCATTAGCTTTTTGAAAATCGAGTCCTTATACGTGTTTTTTGTTTGTTTTTTATATATTCTCGAGTTTTTATTTCTGTACACCAGGGATGGTGAGGGGAATAGGATCAAAAATCAGGTAGGAGAGGTGCACAGGACTATGGTGATGGCTTGTTTGTTTGTTTTACCTTAATTCCCCCTCTCTTGTCAACTACCCACTCCCTCCACCTACTCTACGTCAAGACCAATGTCTTACACATATGTGGGAGTCAGTGGGTTTTATTTCTTGGTATTTGGCCTGGGTGGAAGTGCAGGCCATGACCTATTATCTCTTCCCTTTTTGTGCCAATTCCTCCTTTCCAACTCTACCAGCAGAAACTCGCCTCTTTGTAATGCCTTAACATACCTTTGAATAGCATTTAGTATGTTCCATGAAGTGTAGTTAAAACACCCTTTTCAGGCCCTCCCTGGTGGTGCAGTGGGTTAAAGCACTACACAAAGAAGCTGAAACCACTTCCGCATGAGTTCAATTCCCGCCTGCCCTGGAGGTGACCACATGGTGTGGCAGACCTCTCCTGACCCGCCCGCTGCTCCCCTCAGCAGTGTACTTCGTTGATCTGCCTGTTCTGCTCCCCACTCTGTCTCTGGTGAAGTCTTTGGCCACCCCTGAGTCTCTGACCTGTACCCAATTTCTGTATGCACAAATAGATAAATCTTAAAAAAAAAAAAAAAAAGACCCCTTTCAGCCATTCGATGCTTTGCACAAGGACTTATATTCTTACAGAGGACCAGAACTCCATCTGGTTTTTCTTATATCTGTCACTGCAGCTAGCACACTGCTAGTAACTTGGTATTTGTATGTTAAATCGAGTAATATTGTTGCAGGGGGGACTGAAATATTTCATAAATACACAGCTACATATGGCAGTCAACTTTGTAGAGGGTCCCAGAGATATCACAGCTTTCAGTGTTTGTATCCTTGTGTCGCTTCTTCCTACAGACTCATAGTTTGTGTGAGGAGCAGAGCAGAGCAGAATGATGGTATGATGTCTGAGGCCTCTAGCAGAGCCCAGTGGACTACTCACTCCATGGATATTTTATTCCACTTTACAGATGATAAAACTGTGGGTGCATTTGGTTAAGTAACTCATCTGGGATTGCCAAGATGCTGAGGAGCAAAAGATCCTGAATCCTGGCTCTCCTACCACTGACACTAAAACACTCAGGCCTTTGTGCAAACCATGGTCTAAACCCAAGCACCAAACCCCAGTCTACAGCCCAATCTAGCATCTCTCCAAGAAAATGTAAGTTGTGGGGGCTGGTGCTCAAGAATTAGAAATCTGCTTTATGCAATGTGCCCTTAATCAGACCAACACCTGTGATTGATTCATGTTGTTTATTTTATTATTTTTTAGTGCCATGCATAGTTCAGGCAAGCATCTTTACAAATATTCTGTGAAATAGACTGATTGCTGCTAATTAGGTTCTCTATATATGAAAGAGGGAAATGACTGCCTTCTTTTGAGCTCTGATAAAGCAGAAAAAATATGGTAGAAAAAAATATGTGCAATGAAACACAAAATTAGTTTTATATTCAAGCTTTGCTGTAGATGTGGTGGAATGGTTGGAGCTTTTTGTGACAGTTGATTCATGTAGAATGAGTGGAATTCTAAAACTGCTGGGGTCCACATGATATATCCCTGGTGGGATATTTGATTTTGGCCAAATGGCTGCATCTTCATACAAATCTGAAATTTGAGGGTGTTCCTCAACTTTCCATTCTTTATCCTCCTTAGAAAACTGGCCCAGTTGGTGACCCTCTGAATTACCTAGAGCCACTCCCTTCTCTCCTTGTTCAGACATTTTTAATCATTCACCACAGGCATTACTTCACTTTCCAATTCTCACTCTCCCTCATTATTCTCTCTCCCCACAAGTCCATAGTTCTCAATCTGAAGTGCACACACATACACTCACACACAGTGCATAAGTCTTACATAGGTCTGCCATAAAAATTTTTTTTGTATTAGGGGGCTTTAATGATAGGAATTGATTACTCACAGTTCTGGAGGCAGAGGTCCAAGATCAAGGTGGGTTTCCAGTGAAAACTCTTCCTGGCTTGCAATCATCTTCTGGGTGTGTCCCTAGAACCCTGGAAGTCAGAGAGAGAGCAAATTCTTTGTTGTTTCTTTTCACAAGGGCACTAATCTCACCATAAAAGCCCAGCCCTCATGACTCAGCTAAATCCAATTTTCTCTCAAACTCCCCATTTCCTAATACTATCACAATAGAATGAATGGTCAATATTTAGGGAGGCATAACTCAATCCACAGCACCTTATAAAGATGCAGATTTCTGGGTTCCCATAGTCAGAGAAGAGAATTCAGTAAGCTAGAGGTCGGGTCCAGGACTATACTTTTCAAATATCCTCTGAGATCCTTAAAGCATGAAATCAACAGAGAGAACTAGGACACACCTCCTTTTCACCTGGAGCCCATTGTAATCACTGTGGAGCTCTTAAAATCCAGCTGTGCTGGGCCTTATACCAGGCCAATTCCATCAGGATATTAAGGGTGGAGCTTGTACATCAGCATTTCTTCAAAGGCTGGTATTTAATGTGTATTGAGAGTGAAGCATCATTATGATTTAGTTTCCATGAAGAATTAAGTCACAAGTTTAGTTACCTTATATTCATTCTTCAAAACCCAATTCAGATATAATGTTCCTGTTAAACCTTTTCTTCCCATGTTTATTCAGTCCTTATACATCACTTCAGTGCATACTCCCCTTTGTAATTACTTATGGATAAATTTGTTTCTTTCCCTGGGAGGTCTCTTTCAAAGGTAGTGTTATAGGGCACCTCAATTCAGAGAGAGGCACACTTGAAGCCCCAAAACCTGCCTGCTCTAAGTGGGTTCTGCCATCCGCCGCAACAAGACAAAACATATAAAGCTTTAATGAAAAGTGACTTTAATACAGTGAATATACAATA